AGTTATAGCAATGCATTTAACTGTATTTAACCCAAATTTCAAATACAACACATAAAGGACAAAGCAACTATGCATGACTTTATTTAAACAGACAAAATCTAAGCAAAATATTTTCTCATAAACAGACACTGGTTTTCAAAAGCATAGTGATTTCAAAGTAATCCATGCCTGGAAACATCTACAGCAAATTTCTGTTATAAGAACATTCTCTCATTATCATTTGAGATAATGAAATCCCTCCCTTTCCCTGGTCTTATGATTTCCTTTTATTTCTCTAACAGTGTCCCTTTCCTCCAGTACAGTCAGAGTGGATAGGATAATTACTAGTATAATTACTTACTTCACTTTTCCCAAGTAAAAAATATTTTGGTTACTGTCAGGATAGTTGTTAAAATTCCTCTGAGGCTCCAGGAATGCAAAACCATGATAAAAGGAATTCCCCTTTTTAGGACACCCAGCAAATGACCCCACATGTACTTTCCTAGTCTGGGTCTAACTTGTAGACCAATGAACAGACATAAAGAGGTACCTGAGCTAAGCCTGTGTATTTGAGGGATGGGGTGATTGTCTACTTCAAATGGCTGATTTGAGAGGCTAATATGTTGTGCCCATTTCCACAGCCTAAATTAGCATAGTGTGTTCATTGTAACAGCACTGGGCAATTACTAATGTATGCATACACAGTTATCAACTGTGCTCTTAGAATTTCTGTGTTAAAATAACATGAAACATGCAAATAGGAATGGAATCACGGCAGCAAAAAGGGCAATTGACTGATACGTGGATATTTTGCTGAATTTATACCCATGAACACATGCATACAGGCGTGTACATACAAAGATAGAGACGTAAACATACAAAGATATTCATATGCTAAATTTATGCACGCACAAGTTAGAATGTTCGAAAATGCCGGAGAGCATAAATGTGCATAGAAACCACTATAGTAACGTCTATAACGGGCATGTGCAAACAGGAGCATGCACAAATGCATGCAGTGCACATACCTGTGTATGAGAAGATACATGAGCAGTTATTAGCTTTCAATATGTCCATAGACAAAATAAACACATCCTAGAAATATCTGAAATTTATTTGTGGACTCCAATACCAAAACACTTTTAAATGCCTCCCCCACCCCAAACTCCAATACCAAAAAAAACCTTTAAATGCCCCAAATGAAGTGATACTGAAAGGAGAAATGGCAGTGAGTGGGATTAATATCATAGAGGAGAAAGATCTGCCCTAAGTCTTCATCAAAAAACTAGTCTATGTCCCTATCGGGGGAGAATGAGGATATTTCTTCCAGGGTTCGTATTTCACCACCTTCTTATCTCTAATCATGTTAAGTTGAAAACACACAAATGCATAAAACACAAACAAATTGCTCATTTTAGGACCAAGAGGATGAAATGAGAGAAGGTGTATTCTTTTTCAAGGATGAGAGTTCATTTCATCAACTTGATAATGATCTAATTTACTTTATTGAACACACAGTTCTGCTGATTCAGAGAATGTTTCTTCTCTATCTCACACCTTTTATGCAAACATTAATTACTCTAATATGCGTTAAATTTTCTACATATTTGCTGGGTAACAAATGACCAGAAGCACATTTAATAAATACATTCAGTTTTATTTAGGCCACATATACTTCAGGAGGATTTGTTTCAGGGATTAACAGAGTGGATTTAAAGTGTGCTCTTCATTATCTGTTTTCTTTCCCAGTTGTACTGCCTGTCTTTCTCTGTGTCAGAATCACCTGATGAAGTCATTCTCAGTGGCTTGCTTAAGCAAAGCGTCAGCAGCATATATGACTCATGTTGGAAACATGACCATTTCAAGATGTGAACCCTCTGCAAGTGGACACTAAGATTTACATACTTACGTTATCCCAAGGAAAGGCATGAAGAGCAGCTTTGGGAATTTCCAACCCAAACATTCTTTCAGTTTTAGCATCAAGGTTTGAGAAATCTAAACGGATCAAACTGAAATTTGCAGAAGAAAAAGCACCAACTTGTCACCTTGAATGTGTGGTTAATTTAACGGGAATTCATAAGAGGTGTTCATTCTCTGCGCAATTCTGCTGCATCTCCTAAACCTGAGCTGGGACCATCTGCTGAATATCTGTCTCTTGACTTACTTTTAATGGGTACTTCATCATGAAAAAGTAGTAAAGATAAGCCAGAGTCAGGAAAATGACATGATCCCCTACAGTTGCTCTCTCTTCTCCTCCCCCTTGGGAGAGATATTGCCCATGGAAGAATGCTCATTGAGCAGTTAAGCAGGTGTAGAGGTCAACTGCTTCTTCCAGGAGCCCAAATAGTGCCTGATTTTCTGGGAACAAATATATTGCATTATACGCCTTCCCAAGATGCCACTGTGTCTACAGGATATGAAGTGAAATGGTGCTCTTGAAGGAATTAAGGAATTTAGGAGTGGGGAAGACGAAGAAGGGGAGAGGGGGCAACACGTACACACATTTGCTTTACTTCTGATGCAAATGCTGTAGCAGAACAAGAGAAGGACTGCACAGAAGTTCTGGTCAGTCAATGTGACATCAAAGGCACGGCTTTTCAGGGAAGGAGAGAGACAATATCACAGGCAGAAGCCTGAAAAATGAAAATTTCTATTTTAATAAAAGAAAGTAGAAGAAACTGGGGCCTGGCCCCATGGCCGAGTGGTTAAAGTTCTGTGCACTCTGCTTTGGTGGCCTGGGTTTGCAGGTTCGGATCCAGGGCAAGGACCTACTCCACTCATCAGCCATGCTGTGGCGGTGTCCCACATACAAAGTAGAGGAAGACTGGTACAGACATTAGCTCAGGGCTAATCTTCCTCAAAAAAAAGAGGAAGATTGGCAATGGATGTTAGCTCCAGGTGAATCTTCCTCACCAAAAAACAAAAAAAGAAAAAAGAAAAAATAGAAGTAATCTATTTTAAAGGTTTCCATGGAAGAAACCTGCATGTCTTGTCACCTATACCTAGTAGACTCATATATCCCAGCTTTCAGGGACTAGAAAGAAATGGCAATTTTCCCATATGATGTTTTCATTTTCTAACAGCACTAATTCACAACTATGTGTATACTTGAATTCAAGTGCTCACTTTCAAATATTGTTAGCCAGTATCTGAGAATACTACAAAATTTATTTTTTAGACATCCATGAAAATATTATATATTCATTAATCTTAGTTTGATATCATCTTCTCAGTGAAGGCATCATACAACAAGGGTACATTATGTCGCATGCCCCTGACCTGTAGCATGCTGGAAAGAGAAGCCTGGTTTCTCTTTTTAGCAATCATGCATTTGTCTGTGTGCTTCCTGTGTTAGCGGCTGCTTCTTTCTCTGTCCTGTTCTTTGCAGGACAGGCAGTGTGGTGAAGTGGAAGCTGGGAGCATGTAGATCCCAGCAACGCATTGCCAAGTCTGTATCCCACCTCTTCCTCTTACTAGCTATGTCATCTTGGGCAATTCAATTAACATTTTCCTGCCTCAATGTGTTCCTCTGTGAAACAGAGATAGTTGTAATATATTTCTCAAATAATTCTGAGAATATTTAACTAATATTTCTTTAAATTTAAAACAGTGGCGGGCACATATTAAGTGCAAGATTAGTATTCATAAGTACTACTTTTGCTTACCATTAGATCCTCAACAAAAAGTGGAATGGTAGGCACGTTTTAGAATCTCAAAGAATATTTACGGTATGATCGAATGATTGGCCGAGTGATAAACAATGGGAGAAGGGATCATAGAGATTATTTTATTCAGTGATCTTCAAATCACTTTAGACTTGGACTCCCTTTCTCCATTAAAAGTATATGCAGAGCCAGCCCTGATGGTCTAGTGGCTGAAGTTTGGCATGCTCCGTTTCAGCAGCCTGGGTTCAGTTCCCAGGCATGGAACCACACCACTCATCTGTCAGTAGTCATGCTGTGGTGGCAGCTCACATAGAAGAACTAGAAGGACTTATAACTAAAATATACAACTATGTACTGGGGCTTTGGGGAGAAGAAAGAAAAAAAAAGAGAGAGGAAGATTGGCAACACATCTTAGCTCTGAGTGACTATTTCCCAGCAAAAAGAAGAGAAAAATTTACAGGAGCTTTTCAAAAAAAAGTATATGTAGAATGTGTAAGCCTAACAGATAAATTATGTAAAAGAACAGATACTCTAGTTGACTGACGGTGAGGGTTTGTGGAGTCCACAGCCCCATCCTCCACAAGTTCTTTTACCTCCTCAGCAACTCTTGCGTTAAGTCTGCTAAACGACTAGGCTCAGCAGAATGAAGAGGAAAATCTCTGATTTAAGTCCAACTACTTAAGGTCCAAGAGGTTAGAAACTAATACTAAAAGAAATTAAGTGGCCTGTGCAAGTCTAGAGGTGTCAAAGCTCGTTCCAACTCAGGACACATACACGCTACTTCATCGAGCTGCATTCCAAAATTCACCCAGGAGCGCCTTACCTACTCTGCTTAAAGTCGCAGCCACAGGCCTGTTGATAAACTTTTCAGAGAAAAAGGCAAAGGACAAATAGCCTAAAAACAAAACAAAGAAAAAACCAAAACTAAACCACGATATGTACTGTCTCTCCCTAAAAGACAACGACGGCCCACAGGCCCCTGTTATCGTACAAGGATGGGCTCCCTTGCTGCTGCCCGTCCTTCCTCAGGTTCTGAATTCATCCCACGAATATTTGAGCTCCTTCTGTGAGGCAGTGAGTTCCACACACTTGAGACTAATTCGTGAACAAAACAAAAATGTCTGTCATCATGGAACTCTATTAAAGAAAAAACAACACATTAAATAAAAGAAAAGATTTCTGGGACACAGCAAAGAGAGGTTGAAGAAATTTCCAGGAGGACATTTCAAAAAAGTTCTTAGTGATACACAGAAGCAAGTACTATTTTTAATGTTAATATTTGCTTTTTCAATTAGTTTATGTAGGATAATATACATTGTAGTCTTGGTGACACATCTTTATTGAGCAAAAAGAGGCCATCTTTCAGTACCTTTTATTATTCATCACTTGACTATTAATATGTAACATAATCCAGATGGGAGCAAATAGTTTGGGGAAACCTAAGACTGCATAAATGACTAAGAAAATGCCCCCTAAGTAAACAGGCATATGTTTTCACTATTGCCCAGGTCTGCCCAGCTCACTTGACTCTATGGTGTCAATAATTATTTCAGCCTCTGCTGCAATTAGTGCCAATCAAGGTGACAGAGCTATAAAAAGAAAAGATTCCATTATAGCAAAGTTTACAAATATTGTTTTAATCCGGCTATCCACGTTGTCCATCTAAACCGTAAACGTCTCTTTCACATATAACTTTTAGACTTGTAATCCAGCATATTTTATGAGAGAGAATTATGTCTGAAATAGCACTGCAATGCTAAGTATATGATTAAAGAATGAAATAACATAGTTAGCCATCTAGTCTATTCAGTACTTAGAGATTTGAGATCACACAGAAAAACACATCCAGACGAGTTACCGAATTTTTCACTTTTCATCTGAAAATGTTGGCATTGGATAAACACAGTCAGTATTCATTTAGCTCATATACATTTCAGGCACTAGTTCAATCTACATAGTTAATGCATATAAAAAGGAAGTACACAATCCAAAACAAATTCTTAACTTAAAGTTAATGTATAGCATTGGTTTGTATTTAAAAATAACGAGAGAGAAATAAATTGTTAGTTCCGGTAGTACCTATATTAAAATACATTATTCCATTGGAAAGTATGTTTGTTTCTCAACAGGAATTAATTCGCATTCTGCAAAGCATAAGTAATCTTTCACTGCTTACCATTAAGGTACATGATAGAACTGTACAATCTATATTCAACATTTAGGTTAATGTTTTCTTCCACATGAGAATAGTCAGACTATGAATGTTAACTCCTCAAAAACAACACCTACTTATATAGCTGTTAATTAAAAGAAATAATAAGAAATGTCACCTCTCTTGTAGACAAAAGCCACATATGTAAGTAAAACATTTTAAACCTCTCTGATGCTATTTTAAAGAAATTAAAGGATTCAGAGAAATAAAATGCGTTCATTATGGTAAAGTCATGGAATATAGTAAAAAATAATTCTTTACTTAATTATTAAAGGGAACTCAGAATATTTCTTAAAAATATTTATAAAGCTCTTTGACTACAAATTATTTTTCTTTTGAAACAAATAATGCCATGAATATACCACAGTAAGCTCTACAGGCTGCAAAATGCTATTTATCATTAAAGAAAAAAAGTATATATATTACACTCATTCAAAGCCCACTTGATCATGCTAGTAATTAAGAGAAGCAAAGAGACTATATTGTCACATGTTAGAATAGGAATTTAGAGCATAGAAAAAATAATTTACAAATGAAGTTATTCAAATTTGATGAAGATTAAGCCCAATTCTCACCTTTCAATGTTACCCTATAAAAATTTCAGAAAATATAAGCCTGATTCTTTTGATTCATTCTAAACATGCCTCCAAACATCCTGTGCTAAGGTGAAATGGTGACTAATTTTCGGTAGGATTCAGAGTCTAGGAGGGAAGCTGGGGCACAGGACGAGGGTATGAAAGTGAACTGAAATTAAAACCAAAGTATCTGCTTCCCTTTCGTAAAGCTTTGGAGCTGGTTAGGGTTTCTGGGTTCAGTGGGGAAATTACAAGGAATAGGACTCAGGAAACTGGCAACATTCCATCTAATAGAATTATACAATTTTTAGAGCTGAGGAGGAGTTAGCAGGAACCTTGATCTTTTCTGTTATCCTGGTCACCTCATCTGAAAACTCTATGGATCATCTATAAAACTAATTCTCTTTCTTTCGTAGATAGCCTGTAATCTGAAAAATACTGATAAACGACACTGAATTACTCTGCGAGTACAATTGCTACATGAATATATCACAATATTACTTTTACTTTAATGATAGTTTGCCATTTCTCCAAAACGCCAAATTTCTTTGAATATGTCATTGTAATCAAAGGTGTGTCATTATATCCCAGAATTTAAGTTCATCTATTGATTATAGATTTCATTTAATATATATATATTTTATTAACTATCTTCTAACACAGCCTGCCAGGACACAGTGCTCCAAATGTATTAATTGTGGATTGGCAGATCCATTCTATAAAACTAATTGTTTTATACGCTTTCTGTATTTGCAAAATGGGTCTAACCAGCAGAAGTGACTATGTTCAGTGCAGACAAATAACTGGGTCATTTAACCCATTAATTTGAGTCTGTAAGTTTGATGCAATATTGATCCTATCAATCAGATAATCACATACTCAAGTGTCAGCTCCTCTTGCTTGTGAGTTACATTCAGATTATTCAGGAGCACATTTAACTGATCAGTGATATTCCTATGTAGAGCTCTAGCGTCAATGATTATCGTAGCCATTGATTTGCTTAATTAATACATTTCTTGACAAAATATACAAATTGGGGTTCATTGGTTCTATATGGCTGTTTTACTTTCATCAAATCTTCATTTTTAAATGTATATTATCTGCTCACACATTTGTATTTTGGAAGCCTCTTTCCATTCCACATTCCACCACAAATTTCATACCCAAAATCACGCTGAGCATTTCAAACAACTTGATTTCTAACTCACAGTATTCCCAGCAGACAACCACAGAACTGTGTCTATAGAATGCCAAAAAATCTAATCAATGTCTCAGAAATTTAGTCATTCATCCAGATATTTTGTCTACATCATACCAAACACATTTAATGCATTCTGTTAACTGACTAAACCCCTGCCAGAATGCCTTGACACTATTTATATGTGGCTCAAAATAACAATAATGAGGATAGCAATAAACACCCTCAAATAAACAATATATTTGAGTCAGCACAGATTTCAACCTTGAGGAAAGTGACTCCAGTTGGCCAGTGTGGTCCAAAATCTTTGATACGGTTACAATTTAGATTCTAAGAATGCTGAGGATGCACAATATTTTATTAGCCTCCAGTTGATTTAAAAAACTAGATCATAGAAGTACTAGATACCCAAATGTGTCAGAAGAATTAAACGTTACATTGCATTTGAGTTCAAAACAGACAAATTTATACTGGGCAATTGACTGATGACAATGAGTATTTATGATTGCGGATATCCATTTTAATTAGGTTATTGCTTACGGATCATAATTGGCCTGGAATCTTTTGGAAAATGTGTAGACTACTTTATAAAGTTACATAAAATTATGAAAAAGTTGCATGCTTTAAAAACTTAGTATTTCTATCAAGCCTGTGGTCTAGAAAGAGTATGAAGACAATAGCAAATGGATGCTTTTTAACACAATTTCTTGATATTTACAGTATTTTTTCTTCTCTAGTTGCTCTCCCTTCGAAGCTGGTCAATTGTTTTTCTGGGCTTTTTTTCACCTTACAATCCATACAGGGAGGTATTTCCAATTTCTGCTAAACAGTACAGAAATGACAATTAGTTGAGTCAAAATAAATATATTTTTAAGGTAAAAATTACAATCCTAACAGAATAGTAATGTAAATTCATATATCCCAGCATATATCTTACAGAAAGCAAAAATAAAATAAATGTAAATATGTTAATACTGCATGAACGCACATGAAATACTGTCTACAAACTGCAAGATATTTCAAAAACTATTTTGAGAAAACTTTGGCCAAGCCATTCAACTCTGATTAATTTAACCCAAACATTGAGAAATGTTGTGTTAAGTGGAATGAACCCTAAGAATTTCTATGATGGAATATTTTTGTTCAGATATAGAACAGTCTATATAGAAGCTCAGAATTAATCTCCTGAGTTGTGTTCATTTCTGTAGGGAATATGTTCTTCTTTCTACCTCCTCTGCTTCCTAAAATCTTCTTTTAATCTTCTTTGTCCTATAAGGAATAGATGCATGTTTTTTGCTCTCTGTTCATTTTTGTTTGTTTTCTGAGTTGGGGGGAGGGGACATCTCCCTCACCCTTATGCGTCTGAGGACAGCAGGGAACCAAACCAAAAGCTTATTGGTAGGCAGAGTGCTCATGGAAAGGTCCAGAAGCACTAGGTGAAGGAAGCCTCTTGTAGAAGCCAATACAACATCTCTGTTTCAGCTAGAGCAAGAGAGAAAATCATCGAACCCAATGGATTCAAGAAGTATCTTCTGACTTAATCAAAATAAACAAACAGACAATACCTGTGGGGCAGGCTCTGATTTTGCAGTGTCAAGGCTTGGGGAATTTTCTTCCTGCTTCGTTAAACAAGTCTTGTCTTGGACAAGCTGCAGTTGAAAATAAGCCAATGAAGTTAAATTAAAAAAAGGAAGACAATAGAAAAACTCTCATGAATTCTTCCTATTGAGAAAATTCCTTCACTTTGATCAAGCTGAAAGGGTCCCACAACTTGAGTGGGATCTAAGGAGAGACGAAGTATTTGTGGTTGGTTTGGGGATCTCAGGGGTCTTCAGCAGTCAGCTACCATAACACAGTTCAATTCCCATGGGAAGTTCTTTCTTTGAAAAATGTTAACAGAAGTAAAGAATTATAAAACTACTATATCTGTGACGTGTCTACACTTTAAGATTTAAATGTGTCAGTGGTCTGTATGCCTCCAGGAACACCGATATTGCAAGCCAGGAAGCAATTTAAGCAACACGGTTATCAATTTGCCTAGCAAAAAATCTTCAATATCTTAAAAAAGATCATATTTCTGGGGATAAGATCCTGTATTTTACTAACCAGCAAATCTCATCTTATTAGCCTTAACAGTTTTGAAGAAGATGAATTGCAGGCAGCATATTCCAGTTGGGCTTCATTTCCATTTTAACCAAGGTTAAAATATTGAATTTTCCCTTTCACCCTCTCTCCCTCCGATCCTTTCTTCCTTCTTTGTCCTCCTTTCTTCAATTCTCCTTTTCTTATTGCCTCTCCTTCTCCCACCCTCCCTTCCTTTTTTTCTTCCTCTTTATTATAAACACATTTTTAAAGTAACTATAAAAATTGTTTAGGGTAAGATATTTTTTGATAATTTTCCACGATCCTTTCCATGTGTAAAATAGAGCCCAGCAGTTTAATAGTCCGTGGCCACTGATTAGCTCTGACCTTGGACAAGTCAGCTTGTTTCCTTGGGGTCAAATAGAAAGAGGATACCTAAACCAACTTGGAACGCTAACATTCCATAAATTCTACAAGTAGATGATAAATAAAGAGGATGTATAGAAGATTTAACCTACTCCAATTCAGATTTTAGAGCAAAGTTATTTTTACATGCTCCCTAGTCTCACACTATCTTCGCCTTAACTGAACACACACGATGTCACTTTACCCTTCTATGCCTATATGTATGCCACCCCACCCTCATAAAAGTCTCTCTTCACTGTGACATCCTGAAAACAGCTACTCATTCTGACCCTAGCACATCATTTCCAACACTAGATAGACTTAGTCACACTTTCCTCCTCTAAAGATACCATGAATATTAAAATTTTAGCACTTAATGTTGTTTTCTATGTATAAGCATGTCCAGCTCTTTGGTATCTTGTAAGTTCCTTGAAGATAGAGGCTACATGTATCAACCCTAAATCCAAGCTAGATGTTTACCAGACAGCAAGTGGCCAATATATAATCTCTGAATAAATACTAAATGAATAAAAAAAAATTGGCTATGAAAATAATTCAATTATTAGAATTTTTTAAAATGCCTGATTTTTTCATATGATTGAATATAGGTATATTTGATAGAGGTTCCAAAATAGTTACACACAGCCCCTTCTTCTAAATCAGCCTACAGTATAGTGGAAAAGTAAGACTGTAACTATAATACTAGAAATTGATAGTCGAAACCTTGACTACCTGATTTCAGAGAATTTTAGCAGATATACAGAGGAATCTTCTACACTAACTGAGAAAGAAATTTGTTTCTTTTTATGTTGCGTGGGTTTGAGTTAGACCTAGAATCTAAAATTCCCCTGGAAAAGTTATAATTATTCTACTGTGATAATACAACTGGCCTTTGATTTTATTATACTTGCTTACAGCCCTTGAGAAATTAACTAAAATAAGTATATGCAATCAAGCTCAAAACACATGATCAACGCAGAAAGTTCCCTGCATAGTGTAGGATTTCCCAAAATACATTTTGGAATAATGGGATTCAAAGGTTACATAAGTTTGGGGAAAAAGTTTATGTGAACATTAAACAGTTATATTTAAAGTAGTTCTCAGAGCTTTTAACACACAATTTCTTGGAGTTTGGTCTTGAATGATCTGTCCACGTAATCACGTAAGGTGATTGTTAAAAAATAACACTCCTGGGTAATAATTCAGTCCTATTAGTATGGGGCTTGCATTTTTAATCAGCACTCCAGCCATGCAGACTCACAATAGAATTTGAAATCTACTTCTTCATAATGCACAAATGCAGCATAAATCTCTTAGAAGGAGATATGATATAACTATTTTCCAAATCTATTTGACTTCAAAACCCTTTTTTGTGTGGGCATCACTTGAGGTCATTGTCATGGGGAAGATAGTCTAAGATTTGCAGCGAAGTATCTTCTTGCACTAGTGCAACCACATCCGACAATTTGAGACAAGCCTTTGATCATCGGAACAATGAAAACTTCTTAAATTTCAACATTAAAGAAAATATTATGTGGCTAGAAGACAGCTCGAACCTTTTTTGATACTTTGATCTTACAATGAACACTACCTTTAAATTTATTTTTTCTGTGCCTTGAAGACATTGTAGAAACTTCATTATATGGAGTCCATAAAATGTTTAGTGTTTCTCAAAGAGGCAATGGATATAAGGGCAATATAATTACAACTTGCAGGTATCATGCCTTAAGAAGCATCTCATCAACTTTACAGCCACTGAGAGTGTAGTCATTCACTTGGTGAGAACATAAGGGGAGGTTTCCTCATCGAGTTCTCTTACCCTTGTTGCAACTATCACCCAGGCTGTCAAAAATTCCAGAGAGCTGTAGTTAAAGAAGGCAAGAAGAATTTGACCCTTTTCCAACATTATAGTATAAAGGTAGTTTTGCCTAATGGTTAAATGTGCTTTGGAGTAAAACAGACTTTGGTTCAAGTTTCAGCTCTGATGTTTATTCACTGGTGATCTTGATCAAAGTAAATTGATCAGTTACTTATCTCTGGATCTCAGTTTACTGGCGGTAAAATGGGGCCAATTCTTCATAGGTTATTTTGAGGATAGAATGAGAAAACATATAAAAATGTTCAGTATAAATACTAACAAATAGTAAACACTCTTCTTCTCTTTCTTCCTCTTCTCCTACTATTACTGTCGTTAATGATTACAAACCAGTGATTACAGTGAGTTGACATGGACATTATAAATACAAAGCATGCTGCAGAATCAACAGCCGTGCAAGCCTCACACATAAAGAAAGAAAGGAAAGAGAGAAAAGGGGAATTGAAAAGCATTTGGAACCAGCTTCCCAGCTGTCCTCATTTGAACACTGAATGCTTGGAACCCTGGGAGCTTTTAATGGTTGGTCTAAAAATGCATGCCCTACCGACTTTTCCACGCTGTTTCTCACTTTGTTTGTACCAGGTATGATAAGTGAAGAGGCAGGCGGAGAAGACTGAGGAGATGGATGAGATGAGAGAGTGGGAGACAGTTCTCTTAAAAAATTGAGATATAGGAGCCTGGCCGTCACACTCACCTTGATGAACCACAGCAAAGTCTCACAAGATAGATGACTGGGCATTAAGAATGAATCTCTGCTGTCACCTACTCAGATCCACAGATTTTCTTTTTACTATGACTGTTAAATACACACACAAACAGAACTTTTTTCACACTGATATTTCCTTTGCCTCAGTCCCCAACACTACATGGAATAATTGTGGACTTTTCCTTCTTTTAATTCTTCCTGGTACTATCTGAAATAGAATTGAAAGTCTTGGAAAGAGACAAAAGTGCTATTTCAAATACGAGATTTCATGACTAAACGGAATAAGGCAGTGGTTAAACCTGTGGGCTAAGACGTCCATCTTGAGCCAATGTTCAAGTTCTTAAATCTACGATTTACTAGCTTTGTGGTCTTGGATAAATTACTCAGTTTTTCTCAATGTAAATTTCCATATTCGTGAAATACGGAACAATTTGACTTTATAAATGTGAGTAAGAATTAAGCAAGACAATGATTTAAAGCACTGAGTTCAATGCCTCTCACCACCAGGATCTCAGTAGATTGTAGTAGCAACAATGATGATGAGGCAAAAGATGCATGTTGTAGACAACCTGAACACCTGATGCACATGGGATACTCAATAAAGCATATCTATTGTTATATCATAGCCGACTCGCTGGTACTATCTATCCAACAAATGGTGATTGTTTACGTGATGATTTATATGGTCCACGAAGTCTGGGGAGAAGTACAGTTCCTCATTAAGTTTTTCACACGCATTTGCATTAATGCAATGCCATCCTTCTGCAGTTGAAGAAAAATGGCATGGTCTAGTTACACCAAAAGTTATAATCATTACAGTAATAAACTATTTTTCCTATCAAACAAGGAAAGAAACAGAAATTATACATTTGCTGTTGGCTATAGCATGATGAAATGGATTCCTCCCTCTCTTTCTAGCTTTTCTGCTCTCTCTCTATTTTGAGATGCTGCTGAGAAAATAAATTGATATAGATATTTTGGGAAATAATTTAATAAGATAGATACAATGGTTTTAAATGCGTTCATCATCTGGTATATTTCACTTGGGATATTCTCTCTCTGAAGGAAATAATCCACAATTAAAAATAATTTTTTTCTAAATGGCAAGACTTTGCACTCAGAAGTATTTATGCAGGTGATTTGTGTAACAGAAATAAAAATAATACTTGAACATAAGGAGGTCAGTTAATTAAACGATGATAAAATAATAAGATGAGATATTTTGTAGTCATGAAGACAACATTTTAGGATATTTACTAATGTGAAAAATACTTAAGCTAAAAGAATATAATATAAAATTGTCACGATAATATCACAACAATGCAAACAGTGAGTGCATGTAAAATATTGTCAAACATCAAAGCACAAGAATAAAGTGGAGAGGACAGTCAGACAACCTTATTGTTCTCCTTTAACATTTTTGTTGGTTTCAAAAATAACCTATGCCACATATCTATCTGTCTGTCCATCTATGTAACTATTTTTCTCTCTATATCCATTCTTCTTCCTCCTCTTCCACTTCCTCCCTCTCTTTCTCCCCTCCTCCCTCCCTTCTTCTTCTTTTACCTCTTTTCCCTTTC